TATAGTTTCACCTACTTTTTTACGGTGTTAAATTTATCTTTTTACACAGTTGTGAAATAAGATAAACTTTGCACCGTATTTATTTTAACCAATAATTTTCACATATTCTTTCGATTTTTATCCACTCAATAAGTTACTCAATAATAATTCAATTCACTTTCCAATTCATTCATTTATCGAGTCATTTTTCATAATATCAAGCAAACAACTTCATTCATCGATCTTAATACCTGTAGTCGTTGTTCTGTCTCTGCTAATTTTTCTTTTTGTAGGCCGAGGAATGAAGTCAGCATTTTTGAAAGAGTAATACGGTCCTCAAGCTCAGCAGACAAGCGGCCGTTGTACTCGGCAAGCAGCACACAGGCTTTGTCGACTATTCTTGTAAGTCTTTCCCCTGTTTCTTTATCTGTAGAAACACAAATTGTGCATGAATATACCTCTTTCAATAAAGGTCGTTGGATAAAATGGCGAATGTAAATTGTCAATTGGCGATTGCACGACCGAAAGTAGCCATGGGTTTTGCTAATTGATGAAAAACAACAACTGATTTATACTGTAAGATAGTCTGTCGTAAACGTTGGTTTTTATTTAGACTCCATTTCTATATATGCCAGGTGAATCCAATAATTGATATTTTGTTTGGCAAAACAGTGTAACCTCTTTACTCCGACGAAGGATTAACATCCGAAACGTCAGTAAGTTATTTCCCATAYYYYTTTACGGTGTTAAACTTATCTTCTTTACACAACTGTTTCTTTAGAAACACCGACGCAGCTCACACTAGTTTACCGCTAGTTCCCACCAGTGTAACCATAGTCCCTTTCGGTCTCATTATTGCTACACAGCGCAAATAAGAACCATTACATTGAATGTATTTATATKTACCTTCAATTTTATCTAAAAGTGAGACATCCTGCACTTCTGCTGGTAAATTGGCTATTTTTTCTCTGACAACAGCATCTTGTGACGCTGACTGCTCCAATTCTTGTAGGACCTTGATTAGATCCTCGGGCTTCATTGATAAAAAGAAAAGCGTTACATATTTTTCATAGATATATCCTCTATATGAGCATAATATTTTTTCTGTATTCAGGACTTGTCATTGGGGAAGGAGGTCATTACAAAATTCTCACTTTGACATTGCCAGTATCAATATGACAACATTTGTAGAAATCTATTGCTTTAAATGCTAAATGATAAATGGAGAATGGAGAAAAACAATTTTTGTAAGTAATTTAGTGTAGACTAAATGAGCTTTTACACTACATCAAGAGTGAGATTTCTATGTTTAAAAAAATTTCCTCCATTTATTTTGCTAAGGAAGTGGAGGTCACGGCAGCCCTGTGATTCCCAGTTGTAATTAATTTACGCATTTTCAACCCAATTCAAACCATCTGGGAGTAAGTTTCATTGTTCGTTGTACTTTCATTTCACAGTTGAATTCTTAACAACAAGAGTTCTTTTTCCCACAGGATTTGAATTGGGTGGCAACGTACATAGCAACGTGTTAGCAGATTAGATCTATTGAAGTTCCGCTTATGATACAAGCAAGTAAATGGACAGACAGACTCATATAAAGGAGAAGCAGAAATAAACTTACATCTGGTGGTTCAACAGGATCGTCATTTGTACTTTCTGTTTTTGCGATTTTACTAGGGGGTGGCGAATCATCCAACTGCGGCTCATAATCTTTTGATAAATAAATAAATAAATAATAACATTAATTTTTAAAGCGCTTATACAGGTCAGATCTAAGTGCTGAGAAAAAAATTTACAGATAAAAAATTGCGGCTCATAATATTTTGATAAATAAATAAAAAAATAATAACGTTAATTTTTAAAGCGCTTATACAGCTCAGATCTAAGCGCTGAGAAAAAAAAATTACAGATAAAAAATTACAAATTATTAAACAAAATTTACAAATTAACGGACAGTAATATTTCTAATAGAGGCAGGTAAAGAGTTCCATAATATGGGAGCAGCAACAAAAAGACAAAAAAACGTTAAACAAAATACAATAATACGTGATAATACTGGAAAACTTTTGATCTTGCTGCCAACGTAGAGAAAATAAATAAAAAAATATCATAATATTTGTATTTATTAAAAAAATATTTTCCCATTTTTACATTTTTGTATTATAATTCAGTAACCAAGTATAAAAATAAAAGGTTACCATAAATAGAACATGCTTTCATGGGAAAGAAGTCTATTACCATCCAAAAAAAGAAAGAGTACAGCTATTGATATTCTTAGATTTTATGAATAATACAATCCCACTTTAGAAGTGTCTAATAATTTTCAGACAACGTTGTTCTTAAAAGTGGATATATTTTATCTACATGTATTAGTAAATTGACCCTTTCTCCAAAATGGCAGCCAAAAATTCTTTTAACATTCAAAATGGAAATCTTTTTATTTTAACATAATRATTTATTTGTTAAAAAAGAAGATTTGAAAAATTTATCTCAGACTTTCATTGGAACATGGATTTTTTTAAAGACCCCTGAGAATAAATTTGGAAAAATTATTTTTTTAATTAATTTTTTCTAATATATTTTCAAGTTCTTTTGCCTGGAATAACCTCCTTTTCTAGCAGTATAACTCTCTGTCATTTCTATTTCATGTATTTCATAGTGATGCGTGGTCAAATCCAGTAAAAACCCGTCTATAACAACAAGTGGATTAAGAACACCCAGGCCTGATTTTAGGAAATAAAGTACCATTTATATAAGAACACATTCAGACTGAAAAATGGACGTTGTTCTTATATGGAAAAATATCAAAGATCAGTAATACTTTTCATTGCACACATTGATTTATCAATTTTTTTAAATTACAATACTTACATCATTGTATTGATTAATYAAAATTGTGTGCATATATAATATTGATATAATCTATTGGTAGCCTAGTATGTTCCTTATATTTAGAAMCTTTTTTAAGAACACTTACAGGATTATTTTGTTGATTATAACCCTTTATATAAGAACCAAATCAGCCCGAAACGCCAAAATAGGTGTCCTCATACGCAGGTTTTTACTGTATATCATAAACTACATAATAACACCTACTTATTGCCTTTCTTAGTTTTTCAGTGAATGACAGCTCAAATACTCCTCGTTCTCCCCAGATCTGAATTAGTCTTTCCATTCCTTTTATTGTAGCATCTTTGAAGGTATCCCTGCAACACATAATAATAATTTAGTATTTAATCTTTGTACACATCCATTCTTTACAACAAAAATAACTAGGGGTGACTAGGAATCGAACTTGATCTACATGTCTTTGGATCTGTAAAAAAAGAAAAAGAAAAAAAGCTGGCTCTGGGCTGAATGTTTTGATCTTGAAGATCATGCCAATCACATTAGCACTGGGGAAGTCAGAGATTTCATAGGACATGCWWTCTTGCACTATAGAATGAACTCCTAAACAYCTTTGTGTTTCAGAAGGCATTCATTCAGAAGGCTAAACCTTCAAGAAATTACTACACTCAATAACATCAAGTTGTAATCAATCTTAATAACACTAARAATCACTCACTGAGCACAATGTTTGAATACTGAAGGAAGAACAGATTTGAATTCAGAGTTGAATTCTGAGCCTTTCTTCTTGCTATTTTGTAGAACATCATTCGCGAGGTAAAGCAACGTGAGCTTTTTYGATGGTTTAACTGTTTGGGTGAAGGATTAATCAAAACTTTAGAATACATACAGTTTATGACAAGCTAAAATCACTAAAACAACACATAACGCTTCATCAGCACACATACACAGCACAAACTGAAAACGAATCTTTTCAAACAATTCAAAACAAATCCTAGAAGCACGAGCTCATCAGTAAGCTTACCTTTGTGAATTTCCTTATTCCAAGTTTGCACTACCGTTTTGGCGTGCTTTCTGTGATGTATTACCCACAATGATAATGTCTGTACACTTTGCTGGGTGCTTGATAAATCATTTAGCTTTTTTTCTAAGGTACTTGTTGAAAAAGAACTCATGTTTTTTTTGTGTTTCTTGCTTTTCAAAGATCCAACCTCGATATGGTGCAGAAGGGATACTGCTGTGCAAAAGAACCGTGGATTCATGTTATCCATAATGCAATGCAATTCGAAACCTCGTGCCCAGGGCCCTATTCCTCGCTATTTTCAAAATGGCGGACACTTTACATACACTTACTTGCAGAAACGTTGTCATAGAAAAAATAATTCGGGTGTGATGTACTTTTTATGTCTTGCCCCCATTGGCGCAGTCTTTGATTAGAATAAATTATGGATAGCCCGGGGGCAACAAGCAACTGAGACCCAAATGTGTTAAAGTTTTTCGATGTTTTTACATTTTAAGTAAAAAGTTATAACTTTGAATATCATAGCATTCTCAACGCCACATTTAGTCAAATAGTCCTCAACTTTAACATCGGCAGTGGCGTGTCCAGAACGTAGTAGGGTTTTTCTTTGACATTTAAAAATGTCGGGCATTTATACAACTGAGCACGGGTTGAATCAGTTGATAGATTTAGGGTTTCRCCTTTTCTTTCCGAACTCTGCTTAGTTGTTTTTTAGAATACGTTCAATTCAGATTAATTTTTTCTTTATTTTTTTGTCTTTAAGTCTATTTATATATTTTTACTCTAATAATAAAAGGGAGGCAGCCATCTGCAATTGTATCGTTTCATTTCCATAACCACCTAAATTATAGTATACACATCAAAGAGGCCCTAATAGGCCAAGCGTCAATCCATTAAACAAATAATATTCTATGTATTTTCTGTTGATTTGCTCTCCTATAAATCTAATCAAAAACCAGTATACTAAGTCTCACCCCTCTTGTGTCTATAGGACAATACCCAACTGGCGCGAAACCGCCCAAAATGCCGTTTGAAGTTAGAAGTCAAAAACATTGCTGTGGGCCTGGAAATGAAGTCAGAGATATAAACTCAATAATTCACCACGACACACGAATCCAGTCCACTAATATTGAGTCTTTTAAAGCATAGATGGCTGAATGTAGTAGCTCCAATTAGAGGAAACTTCATCCGGAGTTTCGAAACTACCAACTATGTTTAAACCCCGGGTACAGGTTTCCTCTTATTGGAGCTACTAGATGCAGCAATTTATTTACGCTCCTTAAAAAGATTAAAGTCAATCCGTACTTCAATAATTATGGAGAAGTAGTTAATGAAGACGTAGTCTCGCTCCAAGCCCATCTGTCGTTCTGTAGCGTAAAGTCATTCGACATGCCTCGCTGTTGGTATTGATYGAGGGCCCATCGAGGGACAACTCCAATAACGTCCATCCTTTTGAAACTAGATGGAATGGAGTTTAACTTGGAGAAAAGTCTTCCAACTGTGCAYGGCAAAATAATAGATAAAAAACTTGAAACTACCTGTACGATAATGTATGCAAGAAAATAAGGTTTTACAGGGTTGCCTCATTGAATTCAACTTTCCACACATATTAAAAGTCATTTTTGTATAGCTTCTCCAAGAGATAGTCTATGCCCTGTAAAATGCAATGTTTTCTTGGTGTTATAGCTGTGAAATGACTGCTCTCTTTTAGCGTTTAAGCAATTATCAAGTCGTCTTTGATGCTTAACAATTCTGTTTTCTCATCATGAGAACTTCTGGCTCTGGCTATTTCACTTGATATTTCACCATAACAAAAATAAAATGGGAAACACAGGAAAGAAAGGGAAAAGGCTWTCATTTCATGGAGTATTTTGTTCAAGTAATTCAAAGTTTCTTCGTYGTTCTGTAAGTGGACGGACAATAACATGAAGAAGACKTTGACGACAATGATGCACAGAGAAGTCATCAGATAATGTGCAGTATTGTAGCAAGTTTGTCGTGGTTTTTGCTTGTCGTCTGCTTCTTTATAACACAGATGCATCATGATCGCGAWAAATCGGTTGACGATGAGGGTACCAACGATTCCGAAATATATGAAGAGGTACCAGAATAAATATGAGACAACATTAATCTTCATACCCCATGGCACTTGTTCCTTGGTCGTTTGATGACAACAACTTGTGCAGACATCACCGTCGAAAAACAAAATGGGCGATCCTATTGCTGAAGCCGAGTATATGACTGGAAATTCTACTACTGTACACACAACTAACTCTGTACATATCATCATCCAAGCCGTCTTGAAGCGAAGACTCCATGTGGATGTGAGTTGAGCGTGCTTTACKACCAACAAAACGGCGAGGTTGGACCAGGCGAATGATAAGGCGAACATCAAGGTCGCGGGGAGTAAAATACAGTAACTTTGAGGTAAAACATCTATAAATTCAATAGCCAAAGAACATGCAATAACGATAAGAGAAGACAAAACTTGAATAACAATAAGAAACTTGATATTGCTTAGTTTTTTCCAGTTGTCTTTCCGACAACAAAGAGACAAATAGTAGGCGTTGAAAAAAGTTCCCATGATAAAAATACAGACGATAATCAAGTAGTGACAAAACATCTTTTAAGTCAACAGCGTTTCGTTGTGTTTCTGCCCTTGAACCTTATAAATTCGTTAGACGATCACTTCCAATCGCGTCGCTAGACTGGTCACCACAACAAGAGGCCGTTATGCATGAGCATGCGCGCAACCGCTGCGTTATAACGACCATGGGCTCTAGCATTCGGGGTAGAATAACATTGTAGTAGCTGCGGAAGCTTCGATTCTGAACATAATTGATGTTTTTACTTATCTTCCACATTTTTCCAAACAAAACCAAGTAGATATATTTACAATGCACATGAATATCTTTCAAACTTTATATAAATTAYTGTGAGTCTCGGGCTAGATTTATAACACGAAGCCACTTTGTACCGTTAAAATGTAGTGAATTATTTGTGCACACCTTTAGCAATAATAAATTCCTAAGATGTGAATCGATTGCACTGCAATAGTTTATTTCATAATTTATAATGATACAGCTATAGAACTACACATAGATATTTATGATAACTTGATTCAAACAAGCTCAACTCTTCAGCCAAAAGAATGCTAAATCTGTCGTGAGTGCTCAACAGCACGTAAGAATTTGCAGAATTAACACCGTTCCACATTTTTCATAGACAAGAAAACATTATCAAACCATTTGCAAAGCATAAGTCTTGATATTGGTAGCCTTATTCTAATGAGTCCTGGTGGTATATAAAAGGAAAGTAGTATTTCATGTAACAGTTAATAATATTTAAGCGTAAATATTGTACACTTCAAGAAACTGTCTTTCGAACATTTCGAGGTCGATGTTACTAAACGATGCCTAATTATATTACTACATGTGTACATTTACCATTTACTTCATAACCTGCGTTGAATCTTGACCATCACTCAGCAAAAACTGGAATAGTAGTTGCGTATATAAACCACTGAAGCCTCCATATTGTAAACACAAAGTCATTAATATCAACATTTCTTAAATAAGATTTTAAACGGTCCCAATCAGTCCAATGACGCCAGTGTTTTTCCTCGTTGTAGGTTACACTATTTATGGGTGTTCTTGAGTCATGACAGAACATTTCAGGGTCAAAAACAGCCAAAAACATTTTTGGAAATTGTCCTTCGTGTCGTTGTAATTTCTCGCTTGAAGTGAATCACTAATGAATTTCAATGAATTTTCAACAAACTGGCGCATGCGCACGCCAAACGGCCCCTTGTTNGACAAGAAAACATTATCAAACCATTTGCAAAGCATAAGTCTTGATATTGGTAGCCTTATTCTAATGAGTCCTGGTGGTATATAAAAGGAAAGTAGTATTTCATGTAACAGTTAATAATATTTAAGCGTAAATATTGTACACTTCAAGAAACTGTCTTTCGAACATTTCGAGGTCGATGTTACTAAACGATGCCTAATTATATTACTACATGTGTACATTTACCATTTACTTCATAACCTGCGTTGAATCTTGACCATCACTCAGCAAAAACTGGAATAGTAGTTGCGTATATAAACCACTGAAGCCTCCATATTGTAAACACAAAGTCATTAATATCAACATTTCTTAAATAAGATTTTAAACGGTCCCAATCAGTCCAATAACTCCAGTGTTTTTCCTCGTTGTAGGTTACACTATTTATGAGTGTTCTTGAGTCATGACAGAACATTTCAGGGTCAAAAACAGCCAAAAACATTTTTGGAAATTGTCCTTCGTGAATTTCAATGAATTTTCAACAGACTGGCGCATGCGCACGCCAAACGGCCCCTTGTTGGTCACCACGGTATCAAACAACTTGGTCACAGAATTCCTATTAACCAAACTCACAAATGAATACACACAAAAATCTACGTTGAAATAAAAATATATATAAAAGTTAAGGAAAAAATATATAACTACACAAAATCTCGTGATAAGACATATTTCTTTATTTCGGAAAGACGTTCAGCTGACGCAACGAAGTGTGTAATTATATGGAACACAGTTTTCGTGATTATAATAATAATAACATTTTGCAAATACATTAMTAGACGATTCGTCATGATCATTAAGAAGCTAAGTAAATATTGGAAAAACTCAACATTTTTTAAGTTATACAAATGTGGGCAAGTATTACAGYTAAGTATTAAGTATTAAAACATCAAAAGACTTGTTTTTAATTTACAAATTTTCCATGATTACAATTTGAAAAATAAAGATATTCATCACCAACATCAGATGGATTACATAGATTACATGATGGATTAAATGAAGCTTTCGACAAAAATTATGTCCAATCAAATAGGGCCGACAGGTAARGGATGACTCGTGCCAAGAAAAGATATACGAGGCGAAATTATGGAGAATCTTTGAGTACCATAATCATAATCATTTATTGTTCTTTTTCTAGAAGGATTTAAATATGCAATCTGCTTTTAAAGCTGGGACCACACCCATT